CAGCATATATATATATATATATATATATATATATATATATGGATGGGACCTGTCAGAATAGTGGAAGATCAATATGGATTTTTCATTTGCAGACATATCCAGAAGTCTCTAGGAATCTTGCTAGGTCTTGCTAGGCCAAGTCTATGTCAAGTCCAAACTAAGTTTCAAATCAATGTTTTTTTTGCAAATATTAAACATAAACTCTGTTGCAGGACAGTGAATTTTCTATATTGTAAAACTATTTTCCAAATCAAGAAGGCAGAGTCTATTTACCGAAAAATAGAAATACTTCAAGGCAAGTGTTTCTCTCCTTAAATTACCACTTATTAGGAGATGTATATGGTTATGGTAACTGGGTATAAGATTATGAACTTCAAATTCTGTCATCATTTACTCACATTCATGTTATTCCAAATCTGTAGGACTTAATTTTTTTTTGTCTCCAAAAAGAAGATATTTTGAAGAATGTTGGGAACCAAACAACATTGGAGCCCATTGTTTTCCTTTGTATGGACCAAAAAAAATATTTTGAGACGCTTCTCAAAATATCTATGATACACAGAAAAAGAAAGTCATACAGTTTTAGAATAACATGAGAGGTAGGTAAGGCTGGAATGCACTACATGACTTTTGGAATCTGAACAGATTTTAAAACACTAGGCATCATATACCTGCCGACTTTGTAAATGGTTACAGAAAAAAACCTAGGCATCATACACCAGACCATTATAGAGTACACAATTTACTGTGAGATCTGTTAACTCCACCTGCCCAAAATCTGCAGACTGGCTCTGACATTCGGCAACTATTGTCACTTCATCCAGACTACAAATAGGAGCCAAAATCTGGGCAAAAGTCATGTAGTGTGTATTCCAGCCTTAAACGATGACAGAATTTTTTATTTTTTTTTGGATGAAAAATCCCTTTTCAGTCCTCAGTAGGCAAAGAAGTGGGATGGTCTGCTCTAGACCTTATCCTTGATCACAACCCCACAGTGACCTTCTCTCTATCCCTTCAACAAATCAATTTCCAGGACCTCTTCCCCTTTTTTTTCTCTCTCCATGTCTGAATGACAGCCTCAAAGCTGCCTACTGGGTCATGCAGGTCCATTCCCTTTAACACTCAACATCTAAAGCACACGAGCTCAATCTATCACATACCTCGGAGAAGCTCGGCCCCTCTCATATACTTCTGACTCAGGCATTTGGAGATTTAAGACCCTTCCCAGGCCGAGGGCCAGAAATCTAATCTGTGATCATTTCAGCAGGTTATGACCTGTATTTATCAGAGCGAGGGTGGGTAGGCTGGAAGTTCAGCAAGGTGAATATAATTTATGAGTAAGATGCAACCCATACTATTTTCATGTACTTTCTCATGGTATAGCATAACTTCAGGGCCAATATTATTCATTTGAGGTCTGTGAGACCATAACAGAGCTGATGTGAGATGATAGAAGATGCAATATAATAACAACCAGAGGCCGTAGTTTACTTCTCTGAACTGTCTTACCTATGATTCTATCATTGATTCTTTCCTTTCCACCTAAAGCATTTCCTTGGGGATTAATCCTAGGTATAAGCGCCCCCTTGTACTTGCCTCCCTCCTCTAATGATCACTTTCATCCCTCATTATTTTAATTTCATTTTTGTATTTTTTATTGATAACTGTCATTGTTTTACGTATCATTGGTGGTGGTATTCATATCTAGTGATGAAGTTAGAGTGTTGTGTTGCATGCATTTATATTGTCTTCACTCCTCGCCATTTTTAAACACTTTTGTGTTCTTAGAATGTCACTTTATAATACAATATGATCTGATTTATCAAAGTAACACAGACACTGTAATGCTTGTGTCAGTTTTGCCTAACAAGCTGACCATATTTATTATGTATTAGCATAGCCTTTAACAATAGCATCTATAAAATGATAACATAAGAGAATATGTATATTCACCTTGGTCTATAAATGAAATTATATCTTTAAGGCTATTTTCTACTGTTAATCTAGGACATTCTACCATTTTGAGGCTGCTTGGGATTCATCCATGCACAACTCTTTGCTGCTTAACCGTGTCACTCCTTACGGAGAGAAAATCTACATGACTCTGTCTGCTTACCTGGAGGTAACCAAGGCCATTCACTTATTCGTTTGGGGGGATGAGAAGTTCATTTGGGAGAGTTACAGACCTACATGATTTAGTTCCAGCTAATTTAATCTACCAAACAGCCCACAGCAGTTGTAATGGTTGAATCAAGTACATATGTGGAAAAAGAGGCAAATAGCAGTAAACTTTGTGACTCTATAGAGTGCAACAGTGCTTGCCCACTTTTAGTAGTGGTCCTGGTTCTGTGAAGTATTTTTCCTATTCATTTTTCCACAGACATAATAAAAAAAATAAAAAAATAAATAAAATTAAATAAAAAACATTACAAATTTTGATTTAAAGCAAATAAGTATTTGTAAATCAGATAAAAGGACATTTTTTAATGTAACATTTATTGAAGCATTGAAAATGATGTAATCATTGATGACTGATTTTAAGTATAGAAACTATATATTTTAAGTTTCTTGTAAAATATTCAGATATGCACTGTTGTTCAAATGTTTGGGGAAAATTAAAGGTTTGGAGAAGATTTTTTTTTAATATTTAAAATATTAAATATATTATTATATTATTGCTATTATTATTCTTACCAAGGCTGCATTTATTTGATCAAAATACAGTAAAAATGTAATATTGTAAACTATTATTACAATTTAAAAGAACTGTTTACTACAGTAACAGCCGTTACTACATTTTTTTTTTTTTTCCAGAAATCATTGTAATATGCTGATTTGGTGATTTGGTCATGAGACGTTTCATGTTTTTTAACAGTGTAAAAGTGTTTACTGTGACTTACATCAGTTACATCAGTTTCATGTGTCCTTGCTGAATAAGTATTAAGTTCTGTTTAAGCTAAATCTAAGTATATACAGTAAGTATATAAGATGTGACTGAGTGATCGCTGTAGAGCTTGTTTGAGTGCATAGCATAAATGAAACTCTGAAACGTAGAGTTAGACACGTTTACTTAGAAGACATAGACATGTTAGGGATCTTTAGAGATAGAATGTTCCAGCAAGTCTGCTTGATCAATTACCAAAGAAGCATGTCAAAAATATTCAGGAAAATAAGATTTTTCTTATCAGAGTTATAAAATGTTGTGTTGCAAAAATTAGTACACCCTCCTGAAAGCTACTAAATAAAACAAAGCAATTTTTGATCAACAGGTAAGTATGTTGAACCAAAACTTTTAAAAAAGAAGTAATTTCTTGACAATTAAAAGTGTTATATAGCCCACTGAATCATTCTAAGACTAATGCTGACAACAATGGAACCACTTGGGAGAGAACTGTCAGGAGACTTATTTCTTAGCACAAAATAGGACAATGGTACGAGAGGAATAACAAATCAATATTTTAAGTGCGAAAATATGACAAAAGTAACACAGAAATTCAAAAACAATGAACTTGTGACAAGGCCCCTGAAATAATCAGGCCTTCACTTTAAGGCCCAATCCCAATTCTATTTTATACCCCTTCCCCTTCCCCTTCCACTACCCCTCCGCCTACCCCTTCCCCTTGTCCCTTGGGAAAGGGGAAGGGCTAAGGGGTAGAATTGGGATTGGGCCTAAGTTCTCATTTAGTGATGAGTGATTTTTTTGCTAGAAAAAGAGCAGGAGAAATACCAAGCAAGTGTCTCAGAGCCGGCAAAAGCTGTGAAAAGAGTGACTGTTTACCTCACAGAGGAAGATGCAGCCTGACAGAAGTGACATGCATGGTTGTTGTCCACACTACCTACTATAGCCAAAGCACAATAAACTCATTTAACCTTTTCCAAGGCCCATATTTACAAAATATAGTCTTCTGGGAATCCATACTCTGGTCTCATGATACCAAGTTGCTCATTTTGGATCTAACAGCATCTAAAATGTTATGGTGTTGCTAGAGGAGGAGTACAGTGAGAAGTGCCTGGTTCCCACAGTGAAGTTCAGTGGTAGTAAAGCTCTTATATAGGGATGCCACTGTGTGATGTAATACAAAAACTTGAAACAGAAGATGCTACCCTCTCCTCATTCCCTGCATTGTTGGGCATTTTTTTCAACATGACAATGAAGATATGCATTCTCCCAAGGTGAAAATGTATTTCACCCAATCTTAACACTCTTGAGCACCTGTGGGGGATTCTGTAGAGACGAGTTGAGCAACGCTCCCCATTAAAGACCAGAGCATTTAAGGTCATCAACTTGTACACTCAGTGCCAAGAAGGATCGGAGCAGTATACTTAAAATTATGGAGGGCATACTAAGTACTAGAATATTATACATTTGTTGAATTAAATCTAACGTGTACTCATTTTTGCAATCCTTCATTTAAACAAAATTGGCTAGTTTACTTATTTTACAGATATTAATGACATTAATTTATTAATTAATTAATGAATGAGTTTTTATTAAGTATATGTTTATTACATTTCAATTTTGCTATCTTTCCATTAATTGTATTAGTAATCATTAAGAAAATACATCTTTTGTATTTATTCAGAGGGGGTATACTCATTAATGCTGTGCACTATATATAAATATACATATTTACACACAAACATTAAAAATCAATTCCCCTTTTGGAACCTGACTGTTGTGCTCTATAGATGTCCCCTGTTCTTTATCAAGCTATGGTTATTTGAAGCACCACTTTAGATTGAAACACTTACAGTGGTTTACTCTTCCTAGATGGAGAACTGCACACAGCCCACAGTGATAACCAAAGACTTATGCATGGTGTTCTACTCAAGAGACGCCAAGCTCCCAGCATCTCGCTCCATCAGGAACCTCTTCAGCAGTGGCACCTTGAGGCCATCTGAAGGGTACAGCTGCTTCATCTCACCGTACAAGTCCTTTGCAGTGTTGCTCTTGTAATTTATGTTACCATATTGTTTCCTTTCATTTGTTTTTACATTTAGAAACCGTGTAACTGGTGTGTATGAGCTCAGTCTGTGCCACTTGGCTGATGCAGGGAGCCCAGGTAAGACACCAGTCATCTCATGTCTGTTTCACTGAGGATTTATGGGATGCTGGGCAATTTAGATTTTAGGGGGTTCTGCATTTGAAATGACACCTGAATGTGCAGGAATGCAGTGACAGCCTCATCCTGGACCATCAGTGGGAGCTGGAGAAACTGAGCCTCCTGCAGGAGGTGAGAACATCTACTTATTTGGTTTTCAATGTGATATGACTAGAATGTGGCATGGCAGCTCTGCTGAGGATCTAAGAACTCATTTCCTTCTGCCGTATGTTAGGTGGAGAAAACCAGACACTACCTCCTCCTTAGGGAGAAGCTGGAGTCCACCCTGCTGCTGGGCCAGGAGTCGCTGCTGTCCTGCGGGAGTGAGGATCTAACCGAGTCCTCTTCCCCGTCCACCCACCTGGGCCTGGGCCACAACCCTTGCCCCGGCCCTGACACACCCAACGAGAGGCAGAAGGAGCTGTCTGCAAAGGTAAATCGGTGACTAACCTAGGGCTTACCTAGGTTATATGTATTTTATATAATATATTACAGTGATCCTCAAATCTGGCTCGCGGAATCCACTTTCCTGCAGAGTTTAGCTCCAACCCTAATCAAACAACTATACCTGTGATTTTCTAAGGAAAGTGGATCTCGCGAGCCAGATTTGAGGATCACTGATATATTATATATAAATGATTAGATTTTATAGCCTGGGCCATCCAGTTTTTTAAATTATTTTTTGCACACACACACACGCATGTTGTGTTTCCATGTTTTATGGGGACATTCCATAGGCGTAATGGTTTTTATACTGTACAAACTGTATGTGCTATTGCCCTACACCAACCCTACCCCTAAACCTACCCCTTACAGGAAACTTTGT